AAATGACTTGATGCTTTGCTGAAGTGTAAACAGAAGTCCAAACAAACTATGGGGAGGAAATGAGGTGTGCATGTATTAACATTGCAATTAATAGTGTAATTATAACACATCAAGAATAGTAAATAATATTGATCTCAAAGCATTACAGCTTGTGAGGAAAGCGAAAACTCCTAAAAGTAGGGTGACCAGATAGCAACTGTGAAAAAACGGGACAGGGGGTGGAGGGTAATAGGCGCCTCTATAAGAAAAAGTCCCAAAAAATGGGACTGTCCCTATAAAAATGGGACATCTGGTCACCCTACCTAAAAGCAAGAAGACACTGGAGTTGGAGCAATGAGTAGACATGTAAAATAAATACATAAATAAATGTGTTATTTGTATTGCAGTAGTGCCCAAAAGCCCCTAATTGGAATCAAGGTCTTAGAAAATGTACTTGCACATATGAAGACAACTGCTATACAAACTTAATTCTCACAACACACCTTTGTGAAGTAGTTATGGAATAATTGCCACTTCCAGGGTAATAGGGATGAAAATTAATTGTTTTTGGAGGAGTACTGTTTTTTACATATGGAAAAATGGACAGGGTGGTTAGTGATTTCCCTATGTCCACACAGCAAGTCATAGGGGAGAACTATGGTATTCAGTCCACAGCGCTATACTGCTTTTTAATGACTGAAGCGAATGCTAAATATAGAGTGAAATTCTAATTCCATCTAAATGTTAATAGCAAAGGCGGTGATAATACCTGGAAACATCATAAACCCTTAAAAGTAGGAAAAGAAGAGGTTAAACAAGTAAAAGTCTGTTTGTTTTCTTTTCTTTTCTTCTTTTTGTTTTTATATAAAATATAGTCATTTAACAAAACAATATATAGAGAAGTACATGCGCAAAGTGGAAATGGCATATAAAGGTCTGTTTTCTGTATCCGTGGTCCATGAAAGTGGACGGCCTCTTTCAAAGAAGGCTGGATATGGATTGAAATGTCAACATGAAACCGAAGGCTTTTTGCGCAGGAAAGGGTGGTGCTAATGACCGCTAAGATCCGATTAGCTCAAACTCTGACTTGGCTTTGGAAGCCGAACATTCATAGTTGCAGATGAGAAACAGCTCATTAAAAATATTGTATTACCAAGAATACTGAGGTGATAGAAAAATAAGAGTTTGTATGGCAACAGTGTGGATGGATGGTTTCTGTCTGGGGAATTTAAAAGATGTATCATTTAGACATATTTCCCGGAATGATTATCTACAGAAAAAAGTGGGAAGGCAGACTGCCAGAATGGAGGGGGGAAGTAAAGAAAATTAGATAGCACTGAACAGTGGAATAGCCATAAACACTGGTGACTCGTGTTAGAAATGGCTGTCTCCACATTGATGAGGACAGCAGTTTCCATAGTGTAACTTATTTTTTTTTTTATTAATATACATGATTTTTGGTGTGTCGTCTTGTGCTTATAATACCACTACCACCTTTTCCCTGGAAATACTGTATATCAGAGGAAAATAGAATAAAATCTGGCAGTAGATTTTTCCATTCCTTTTTTGTTTAATATGTCGAGGCATGATAATAACAACAACAAAAATCTTGGCCTACTAGTGTAAGTTCACACCAGTCTGGCTTATGCAGCCTTTTTACTTCCCTCTGCCACAACTTTGCCGCTGCTATGACACTTGCAGGCCTGCTCCACTGTTGTGCAGCTGATGCCCTGTCCATGCTTATATTTTTCTTATTGACAGTGAGTGTTCTTGCCAAACGCCAGGGACCATAGTCACATCTGTTTGTCTCCCAAGCTTGTCTGAGGCTGCTTGGGAACACTTTTTATCCAGAGGGCAGCTTTAACTAGGCCTAATACTCTGAAAAGCCTCTATTTGTAAATGCATACAATGAGGCGACAAGTTTCTGTTGTCTTTCCTTTAAAATTATTCCATTTGACACTGCTTGCTCCAGTCCCTGTCACCAGCACGTCAAAAGCCAAGTTTTCAGGCAAGGTGGTCTTAACAAGTTTTATTTTTTCCCTAATAAAATGCCTAGTTTCCCCACCAGAGCACTATTTATAAATGATAGCTTGCAGCAAGCTATGGATAAATAGAGAAAAATCAGGCAAATAGCTTTCTTCCTATTTGTAATCCTTGCTTTTGTGTTTTAATGTTAAGAAGCATATTGTTGAACCCCTAGCCAGACTGTGAGGGTCAGAGTTCTCTCTACGTCTACAATTTAGAAATGTAATATACATGAGCCAGTGTTTATGTTTATAGCCAAAGTGGAATAGCTTGCTTTCTCTAAACTGTAGCTTTCAGATTAGGAACAGTTCTTTGTCCATTGCTCTTTAAAATGTAGCCTTTTGTCTTTCTGCGATTCAATCAACAATACATGTAAAATGGTAGTTGTAATCCCCTGTGGAAATAAATGCAGTGTTTGAAATTAATCTAGTTTTAGTCAAAGGTATAATATTATTATTAGCCTCATAATGGACTGTGGATTTGAAAAAGTGTAATTGTTGCTTTAACGATTTCTTAAGAATATTGGTTAGTTTCTAGCATATAGAAACCTCTAGCTTTTCCTCAAAACCATGGCAAAGAAATAACCACTCTCACCTTGGCTAGTGATCAAATTGTTGTACTTTGCAAAGACAAATGATTCATTTATGCTGAAGGAACAAGGCTGCCTTTCAGACATTCATTGATTTTGAATTAAAAAGTAACTGCTATGTTCTACATGAAGGGTGACAACAATAACAAAGTAGTCCTTACTTAGTGTTATTTGTTGCAACTCCATTGCATGTGCCTGGAGGAAAAGTGGTGGGACCTGAGTACCATAATCTTACTGATCAATAATCTAGATATCTCAATGCAGTGTAACAGATAATCAATTCTGGGTAGAATTACTCAAGCACAGCTAGCTGTTACTCCTGTAGCTCAGGTCTTGAAGTTCAATTGGCTGACTTTATTAATTTTTATCTTTCATCCTACTTGCATCCTTGGGTGGTGTGGGTTTGTTTTGTTTTGTTTTGTTTTTTTTGCTCCCTTTTCCCCCTCTACATAGAAATGCTGGAGAAAGAAACACAGATATTGCACTCTACCTAGTATGAGACATGTCCAGGAGACTTTTACAGTCTAAGGCCCTGGAATAATATAATGGGATATGGATTTTGGGAAGAGGGAGCTGGTGATCTATGTTTAGTATTCATTGGTAATCCTATTTCTTGATGTTAAAAAAAAAAAAAAAAAAACTACAATGAGATATGAAGGTCTTCACATTTTTTATCTGCAGCATATTCATTTTGAATAAAATGAGGACATATATCAGTTTAACAGTTAAGACCGTTCCTAATTTTAATATTTTGCATTCCTTTATTTGAATTCTGATATTTAGTTTCAGAAAATATATTCTATGGGTGATTTAGTTGCATTATGGATATCAGAGTCAAGTGAGTAATCAAGATAGTAGAAGCCATTCTTGAAGAGACAGTTTTCCCAAGTGTAATATGACTGGACTCATAACCCATTCTCTACATTTTTAGCAATTTTTTAAAAAAGCACACACATATCATGTTAATGTACTTTAAATGGTTACTTTAATAGAATATATAAAACATAAATTAAAACCTGCAAGTTTAATAATAACTTCGTTGAAATTGCTTTTTGAATATTTATTTTGCCTTTATTGACCTTTTCTATACTTTATTTAAATTTCCAGTTTTCACTGTTTTTACATGTACTACCAATTACGAAAGATTTGGAGGTTTAAAGAGTCTTACTATAAATTTAGAACTAATTGAAATGTACTCCATGATAGTAGGAGGGGGGGGAAGGATGGTTTCACTATACTTAGCCTTTGGATTTTAAATTTTTATTTAAATTCAACTTGTGAGGCTGTTTCAAGGAAGAAAAGTCCATGTTAAAATAGAAAGTTAAGTTAATTGATGCTGAAGTTGTGGCACAATAAATTAATCTGGGATGTGCTTCGGAGTATTTTATTTTTTAAATAACCCACTGAAGCCCCTCTATGTGAAATAACAAAGTCATTACTACATTTATGTTAAAAAGTGGTTTTGTACCATTAAAGGTTAAACACTATGACCATTTTCAGCCCCGTTTTGTAGTTTTTCTTTTTTTACAACATTATGCAGGAAATCTGAATATTCTTTTAAATCACATAATTAATGCTCTGTTACACAATTAATAATAGTATAGCTTAAAGAAAGCTTATGTGCAGTAAAGCAAAATGTATAAATCCTAGACTGAACCCAGGCCCCTTGAATAGGAACATATTACTCTTCATTGGCACCAGTTTACTAGATTTGTTTCCCACCTTGTGATTTAACAAAATTCACTAAGTTATAATTAAAAGAATTGCAATATTGGGACTTGTGTTTTTAGATACTCTATAATGTTTAATACATCTCCATAAATGCCTCTTCTTTTTCCCTTGTCTCCTAATTCTTCACTGAATGATGCAGCCAGCAGTATCTGTGCTGCTCTAAAGGACTGTCAAGTTACTTATAGCAAAATTACTCTATTATTCCATATGCGTTTGAAGAGTTTTCTGTTTCATGTTACCTCAGACATTCTTCATGTTACCTTAAAAGAAATTGATAATACTTTTCCTGTAATAAATGTCATTCTGACAGTAAGGCATTAGTAACCAATTGATAACCTACAACAATATTGTGATCTCTTTAGATAATTAATCTTAGCTATTTTCCTGTCAGAAGAAACAGTGTTTTATGTTGAGCTAGAAAGATTGCCAGTTTTGAAAATTAAAAAGCATTCCTTTTATATTATTCATTCCGGTAACAATTTATGATGCTGTGTTTAGATGCTGAGCGCTTGTCAACAAACATAATTATGTTTCGATATAAACAAGATTGGTGGCTTCACTGTGCAGCTTCATCTTCATTGAGAATGTTTTGATTTAGGTTCAGATTATACAAGCTGTGTATTTATGTGGCATTTTCCCCCCTTTGTTAATAGTTTTCTCTGATAATCACTTACAGACAAACAAGTGTACATTTAGGATCATTGTGCATGGGAGACATCAAACGGAGAAGAAAAGCTGCACCCCTGCCAGGACCCACAGGTAACCAATTTTCCTGTAACAAAACCCCAAAAGTTAAATCTTTAAAATACAAAGCAATAGGTCAGCAACACAGTAAAGTACATGATACCTTTAGGCAGGTAGTATAATAGTTAGTATTAGAGATTAAGAAATCAACTGACTTTTAATTGTTCTTTAGACGTTTCCAATTTCTCAGGCTTTTCAAACATAGTACTTATTAAAGAAAAGTGATTTGGTTTCCCCATAATGAAAAGCTTAAACAGAAGAGATTACTATCCATGTATACTCAACAACACAAGGTAGGAAGAGCTAGGGTATTTTTCCAATGAAGAATGTATATGAAAACATAGAATAAATAGAATGTCCTGTACAAGATTTGTTGGGCAAATCATTGAAAGTTTGGAGTCAAGTGTATGAAAGATATCTTCAAAATTAGTGCAGCACATTAAATGGCTAACACCTGCAAGTGCATTTTCAAAGATTTTTATAGATGCGAGGTCACAACCATCGCATGCATTTTGCTGATGTTACAGCTGTGAAATGACTTTTTTAATACTTGGCTGTGATTTACAGGATTCTCATCCGTTTGTTTATATTAACTATATATATTTAGACTGGTGAGGATGTGGTTGTGCATCTTTTTGTGTGTATCTCTATTAGTCTGTCTTCATATATTTCACATATTTGTAGTATGTGAGTGTCTGGACTGCACATGTTAGTATATATTTCTGTTTATCAGCATATACTTACAGTACCTTATATACAGTGTGTACATGCATACAATTCTTTGATTCAAATCTGTCCTAGATATTCTTTAGAGTAACCAAATGTTTGCATTCCAGTTGAATGGCCCCCTCAATATTTCAGTGTTTCAAACAGTGACAAAAACAGACCAAGAACAATCTCAGAAATACTACATCTTAGTGGAAGCAGTATGGAAAAAGAGAATGTCTAGGTCAGGTTCTAAGACTCTGAACATATCTGAAGTGAGCAGGAAAATATTTAATGGTTGAGAAGAGGATAATACAATTATTTCTACAAAGTGATTTTGACTTCACAACTTGCAAGTACTAAAGGAAGTCGTTTTGTACAGAGTTGGTATAAAGTATAGTGAGATTTATTTTATCATACATTTTACTGTGGACTTCCACTGTTCACAAGCTAACTCCCCCCTGCATAGTTTGCAAAGCCAGTCTTTTGATAATGAAGTTACTAAATCTTTTATAAAAGCATTCAGTGTTTCTGATACATAGTGACATCTTCACAATATACAGGACATTTTTTGGAAAGGATTTTTGTCTTAAACAGAGAGAGATACGGGGCCTTTTTTAAAAAAAAAATACAAAATCATAGAAAGAGAGAGAAAAAGAAAAAACCTTGTATTTGCTACTATTTAACTAGTGTGAATTTATCTTTCTAATTCAAGAAGAGCAGTTCAGTTTCCTTCTGTATTAGCTTTTGATAATGTGAAGTGTTTTTCTATGTTTGAATCTTTGTGGGTTTTTTTAAAGAAACCAGTATAAACTTGGAAAAACATTTAGTAAATTAAACAATGGTAGCTATGTTCACACAAAAATGTTTCAGAAATACATGGGTTCACTACCTCAGTTCACTCCATTACTACTCCTTCCCACAACTAAATTAATTTTAAAACACTGATTTTTTTTTTAACATTTGATATCATTATTTGAAGAAAGAAAAGGCTTTACCTAATGTCATTACATTCCAGCAAGGGATTTAGAGTAGGACAAGCTACCATTGTCCTGGTTGGGATTTTTCCCCAACTGATCTACATTGTTAAAATATAGAAATAAAATGACTGGGATTAACTAAAAAAATAATATGGAAACATTTTTCTTTTAAAAAAAAAAAAAAAAAAAAATTGCACGTACACAGCAATCACAGTGATGTGTGTTTCTGCAAATCAACAGAATGAGTCCACCAATACTTACTCTGCTTCCTAGTTGAATACAGTAGTGAAAGCTGAAAGAGTATAAGCTTTATCTTGGGATATGATGCACATACTCGGTCATGCTTTACTAATTTGTAGTATGTCATCCAGGTAGGTGAGCAAAACAGTTTAGTTCCATAGTCCCAATCTGTGTTTCCAGAAGAAAATTGCTTGGATAAATTCATTTCCATAGCAATATGCACAGTATGTTTTATATATTTAGGATAAATAGTACCAAGGAGAATTACTGGTGATTGCTAATTAACTATGGAAATATGTTATGTGTATTTTTGTGAACAGTCGGGTTAGCACCTGCTCCAGTACATACTCTCAGACATTTTACAAGGCTGTAGACTATTGTAGCTAGCAGTGTTATTGGGTAAACATTTATTAATTGTGACAAGAACACCCAATTTATTTCAGTACTCTAGCTTATTTACTGCTCTTTCACCTTTGTATTTTATATTGAAAGAAAAAGTAAAATGAATATTGATAGAGTTAGATATTGATTTCTAAATTTATAGCCTGTTCTCAGCCTTGAGTCAAAGTCACATACCAATAGGTTTGTGTATATTAGTAACAAAGGATGTAGACTTATTCTTACAGCAATGAGAAACTGTTGAAGCAAGAAAGTTTTAACAGCAGTTTTATAGTTTTAAAAATGTCATCTGTAAAAGTGAGGTAAAGCTGTGTTGAAAAGCAGTGAACAAAATAAGAGGAATACTAGTAGATATGGGTAGGAAGGGAGTTTTTAGACAGCTGACAGCAAAAACAGTAAAGTCCTATTTTGCATTTTTTGCTATAAATACATTTTCTGTTTTGGCTTGTTTGATAAAGCCTCCTCTTTTAATACTGCATGAACTGAGCTAATTAGTTTACCAACTAAAACAAGGGTGATTGCAAATATTGCGTAACATCATAGGCAACTCAATTTTTTTTCCCATCCAACTTCTTCTATAGAAATTGATACCTTTCTAAGCAATAGGTTTCAAACTACAAAAGCAGTTTAAGCAGTGAAACTTGGGTGCATGTCATTCTGCATGACTTTGTGCTTGTTCCAACTACCTGAGTAGTCGTGCTAGTCAGTATGACACCCTAACACGTCTCGTTGCAGTGACACAATACCCTCAAGGTACATTATTTTTATACAAACTTTTTCCTGTATATTCAATTATTTAATTTATCTGTCAGAGAAAATGACCCTACCAAAACCATGTTTAGTTTTGTATTAGTAAAACTAAACACCCTAAATACATGTTTAGTCAGTATTAGTAAAAGTAATTAACAACCAACAAAACGTAATAAAATAAAGGATGGTATTAGCATGTAGTGTGTCCTTGAAATGTCCTTGAAATGTATGCACTTGAAATATTCACTGAAAGTTTAAAGATTGTCCATTTAAAATTTTCTAATCCGTTTTGTAGTTGCTAAGGAACAATTCTGGTATGTCTACACTACGAGGGTAATTCGATTTTACTTAAATCGAATATGTGGAATCGATATTGCAAAGTCGAACGTGTGTGTCCACACTAAGGACACACTAAGGACAGTAATTCGACTTTGTGAGTCCACACTAACGGGGCGAGCGTCGATATTGGAAGCGGTGCACTGTGGGCAGCTATCCCACAGTTCCCGCAGTCCCCGCTGCCCATCGGAATTCTGGGTCGAGCCGCCAATGCCTTCTGGGTAAAAAAAATTTGTCATCATCCGTCCGTCACTAACGCCCTCCCTCCCTCCATGAAAGCGCCGGCGGGAAATCAGTTCGCGCACTTTTCTGGTCAGTGACAGCGCGGACGCCACAGCACTGCGATCATGGATCACACTGCGACCATCGCTGCACTTGTGGCCGTTCTCAACACCTCGCAGCTTATCATACACCTTTCCCTGAGGCAGATGCAGAGAAATCGGGCGAGGAGGCTACGGCACCGCCGTGAGAGCCTGAAGTCGGAGAGTGGCACAGAGCTGTCAGAAACCACGAGCCCCAGCGCCCAGGACATCACGTTGGCAATGGGGCATGTGGATTTTGTTGAACGGCGATTCTGGGCCCGGGAAACAAGCACGGAATGGTGGGACCGTATAGTGCTTCAGGTCTGGGATGAATCCCAGTGGCTGCGAAACTTTCGCATGCGGAAGGGGACTTTCCTCGAACTTTGTGAGTTGCTGTCCCCTGCCCTGAAGCGCAAGGACACCCGCATGCGAGCAGCCCTCACTGTCCAGAAGCGAGTGGCCATAGCCCTCTGGAAGCTTGCAACGCCGGACAGCTACCGGTCAGTCGCGAACCACTTTGGTGTGGGCAAATCTACCGTGGGGGTTGTTGTCATGCAAGTAGCCAAGGCAATCGTGAAGGTACTGCTCCCAAAGGTAGTGACCCTGGGAAACGCGCAGGTCATCATAGATGGCTTTGCCGCGATGGGATTCCCAAACTGCGGTGGGGCTATCGATGGGACTCACATCCCTATCCTGGGACCGGACCACCAGGCCAGCCAGTACATCAATAGAAAGGGCTACTTTTCAATGGTGCTGCAAGCACTGGTGGACCATCGGGGACGGTTTACAAACATCTACGTCGGATGGCCGGGCAAGGTTCATGACGCTCGCGTGTTCAGGAACTCTGGTCTGTTTAGACGGCTGCAGGAAGGTATTTACTTCCCAGACCACAAAATAACTCTTGGGGATGTGGAGATGCCTACAGTCATCCTCGGGGACCCAGCCTACCCGCTAATGCCCTGGCTCATGAAGCCCTATACTGGCGCCCTGGACACAGAAAAAGAACTCTTCAACTACCGGCTGAGCAAGTGCAGAATGGTGGTGGAGTGTGCTTTTGGCCGTCTCAAAGGGAGATGGAGAAGCTTACTCACTCGCTGTGATCTCAGTGAAACCAATATCCCCATCGTTATTGCAGCTTGCTGTGTGCTCCACAATCTGTGTGAGAGCAAGGGGGAGACCTTTATGGCGGGGTGGGAGCTAGAGGCAAATAGCCTGGCTGCTGATTACGTCCAGCCAGACAGCCGGGCCATTAGAAGATCCCAGCGGGACGCCCTGTGCATCCGGGAGGCTTTGAAAGCTAGGT